CAGCTAGGGGTGAGGCTGGGCTAGTATTGCCAGCACAAGCACCAGCCCAGCCTCATTCCTACGTGAAAAATTAACCCTGGAGAGAACACAAGTTCCCTAAGGCTCTCTGCTTGAGTGCTTTAATCTAATACTTCATTTTAACAGGGTTAATTTTTCATGTAATTGGTCATTTTAAAAGTGCTCTGCAGCCATACGCATATGTTAAGTCATGGTTGTGGAGTGCTTTCAGGGGCCTGGTCATGTGAAAAATGTCACTTGTGTAAGCACCCTACATGTGCATTTAACAGAAGACTTGTCTGCTACAAATAACTTACAATGTATTCATCAGAAGTCTTGATTTTTTTTTTAGGAGTTAGGCACTTTGCTTCTATAGATGATAATGCTGAATACTGGGGCTGAAAAACAGAGGGAAAAAAATCATGCATATCTTCTTTATCACCAGCACAAATTGCTCTGACCTCCTGTTTAGGCTGATGTTATTATCAAAGTTCTTTAGTTCTTTTATTGTTTGACTGGCATGTAGGTCCCACTAAATCCAACTTTTACTGAGAAGCTGATGTTCCTCTTCCTTTGTATCCATCAGCTTTTGCTTTAAGGCAGGGTAGTCATGGGTAGGAGATCTACAAATATGATGATCAGGATCATGAAAATATTAAAAAAACAAAAAAGTGACATGTTCAGGAAAATGTTTGTACCCTTCCACATGAATGCCACGCACACCCAGAGCCTGGGGGGATGGGGGGGGGTACAGTGAGCTCCCACAGGTGGTGGCAGTGGCAAGCAGCGAGCTCTCGCAGGGGGCCCACGGCAGTGTTGGTGGCTGGGGAGGAGGGGTGTGGTGAGTGCTGACAGGTATTCAGCGACCACCCGCAAATACCACCAGCAGTGTTTGTGGCGAGGGGAGGATGGCAAGCGGTGGCTGCCTGCAGGCGCCACCAGCAGCATTGGCAGTGCTTTTTGCAAGGGGTGCACCGCCAAGCTCAGGGGGTGCATGTGCACCCCCTGCATGTTGCCAATGCTCTTCCATGACATAGTTTGAAGTCGGAGCTTGGTTGGCTTCTAGCTAAATCCTTGGGCTAAGTACAGACAGTCAAAAAGATTAAGGCTGAATATATTCAATCTAGGCAGCGTCTTCCTAAATGGCATAGACTGAGCCAATAACCAACTGAACTGACATTCAGTTGTCAATTGGGAAAGGCAAGAGGAGGCCTGCACTGACCCAGGCCAGCAGGTGGTGGGTACTCAATAACATCTCCCAGCCTGTGGACACTGCCAGCCCATCCAAGTGTCCCTAACCCCCTGCTATCCCCCCACAGCAGGTTAAGGAGCCCTCTGTCTGGGTGCTGACCCTCAGGAAGCTTCCCGCAGCCCAACCAGCACTGGGGAGCTGAAGAGAATTTTCGCCCCCTACCCTTCCCAGTTGCAGATTGCTTCAGCGTCTGCCACAGGAGGGAGGGAGAAGTAGTTCTCCGGGCCAGGTGCCTGCCTGTGCAGCCCAGCATGGGGGCACTAGGGAGTCCCTGCCTGGGGGGGGGCTTAAGGAGCTGAGGGAAATTCTTCCCCTCCTGAACCCCATAGCTGGTTGCCTTAGGTCCTGCAAGTCTCGGGCAGATTTAGGGAGCATAGGGAAATTCTCCTGCTCTTCCCCAGCCAGTTTTGCCTTAGCTGCTGTGAGTCTGAGGTAAAACTAATGTAGTGGAGCAAAGGAATTTCCCTCCACTCCCTGGGCTGTCCTGAGACTTGCAGGGGCCAAGGCAAGCAGCTCTGGGGTTCAGGAGGAGAATAATTCCCCTCAGTTCCCTGGGGCTACCCTCAGCTGGGGTGGGAGCTCCCCAGTGCCCCCATGTTAGGCTGCATGGGCAGGCATCCAGCTTGGAGTACTTCTTCTCCTTCCCTCCTGTGGAAGCTGCTGAAGCAGTCAGCAGCTGGGAGGGCTGCCAGGGGTCTGAGAAGCCCCCACCACAGGAGCTTTCCCTCCCCCCACGTGCTGTGTAGACTCTGGTTAGGCAGGTCTGGGGGTCTCTTCTCCTACCCCTCCAGTCCCTGTGGGCTGATGGATATGAGCAGAGAGGCGAGGCACTCGCTACCTCCCTGGAGCAGGCAGCGTAGCCTAAGGCTGCAAAGCATCCTGGGATGCTGGGGAACTCTGAATTGACTTGAACCAGAAAGAGATCTCAACCAGTTCCATGAGCCAGTTTGACCTAAATCAGTTGAGCCTGATACTACATCCAGCCAGGTCTATCTTAAACTAGTTTTGGTGATTTTGAAAGCGGTTTATGTGCGCTGAACTTCTGTTCTGTTTATAGGTTTAATCCAGTTTCCGATCACTTGCATCAGTTTATGTAATTTTGTCCCTAGCCTTGATATTTTGAAGTACAGGATGATGATTTTCTTCCCTTTTTTGCTACTCAAATATGTAAATAAGACCTTAATCTGTGCAAGTCTCACAAAGATTCATGTCCAAATTTAATATTAACCTGATTTGAACCCTTAGAATTTAATTCAACTGCTATTTCAGATGCATGGCAAGCTTATTGTTTAGATTTGTAAGGGAAGAACTTGATGCTCTTCAGGTGACTGTGGTTAAGGTGGTTTGCTTCAGAGGTGTGAGTTCAAGACTAGTTCTGGAGTTTTGTCAAAAACTGCCCCCTTTCCTCCCCCCAGGTAGTCGGATGTGATGCTAGCTGCATTCCCTTGTATGTGCCACTGGCTAAAAAGCAGGTATACCATAACCACACCAGCCCAACAAACACTTAGGCTCAGATGGACCTTCTTTGTTTCTTTTCATATTGATCAGAAGCCTATTTGAAAGTGAAACAACAGCAGCACAAAGTGTTGACTTAACCCCTTACTTGTATTAGTGCTGATGAAGGGGAAATCAGGCCTATAGGGATCTGAGAACTGATTCTGCAATATATATCATCTGTAGGAAATTAGTAATAAATTAATCACTTTTGCGCTAGGTTTGGCCAATCTACATAATTTAGGCTTTATTTAGATGCATTAAATGGAAGACTTGTTTTAAACGAACAGTAATTGGATTGCCACACTTCCCTATGCGTGTTGT